CAATCAATAAAGTACCCACTCACTTCCTGTGTGCTAACCCTCCCAATCAAAATCAAAAACTTACAAAACGCTTTGTATGGAGTTTTGTTCCCAGTCAAAAACAATTGAGTACTGTCCGTGATACTTTTTTTATTTGCACTAACATACAATTTTGAGGACAAGCTTTCGGGAGTGTCCCCTTCTTCAAGGTCCAAGCAGTACTCAGTACTGCTTGGACTTTGAAGAAGGGGACACTCGCCGAAAGCTTGTCCTCAAAATTGTATGTTAGTGGAAATGAAAAAAGTATCACGGACAGTACTCAATTGTTTCTGTCGCAAGTGCACTAATACGGCTACAATCACCTTAAGCAAAATGTTCCCAGTCAAGAAAGAAAAATCTCCTTTCAGGCAGTTACTTCACTTCCAGTCTGTAAAATACTGTACTTTCTTTTTTTTTTCTATCCAGGTAAGAGCACCAATCAGTATTTCCTTTGCAGTATACCTAGGAAAAACCTCAATTATTTTATCTGGATGACATAACTACAGTACCGCCGAACTGGGTTAGTGAGATTTAATAAGAAAGCAAATTGCATGTATCAAATCTACAAAATTGTTCAGTATTTATACATAGATCACGAGCAGCAGACCAAATAACTGCATATTGATGTGGTTCCACTCCATCCAGGTGTGCTAATAGTGAAGATCACTGAAAAAAGTCCCAAAACACCTTACCTCTTCTCCCCCCCCCCACAGAACACCTAATGGGAAACATAATGACTACAGCCTGCCAGAATTGCAAGCCTTGACCGCAATTCCAGCGTTGCACCAGGATTCTGCCATGCTTGAAAAATGTAAATTACTCTTACAGAAAGAGCTCACCACACCCACTAAGTAACGTATCTTTTCTTAACTAAAAAAAAAAATATTGGTACCGGCTGTATCTGTAGGACTGAATATCCAGAGTACCCCACCCACCTTACTTTAGAGTCCCCCCCCCCATCAGAAGTGTCCCACCCTCCCTTACATCACAGTGCACTTCCCTTACCTTGTGCTGGGGTGGAGCTGGGACGCAGAAAGTGCAGGGTCTAGAGGACGACCTGGGGAGGGTTGGAGTCATCTGCCGAAGTCTGCAGAATGCTGAGACCAGCGGAGGAGGAGACGGGGTGCTGTGGCTGCACAGAGAGGTGCAAGAGCTGTATGAGGAGTTCGGTCTTCCTTTTTGCTGCCAACAGCTAAGATGGGGGGAGGGGGGGCAGCGGGTGAGATGAGCCTCTCTGTCTGCGGCTGCACGGAGAAGCACAGGATCTGGCAAAGGAATTCTGTCCTGATGCCGAATGTTGACAGAAGGTGTAGATGGAGATGAGGGGGGTGCCACAACTGCAGGAGTGGTGCAAGGGCCACATGAAATGGCCTAGCGGGCTGGATTTGACCTGTGTGCCTTGTGTTTGACACGTGATCTACAGCATTATTAAAGGATAATGCAATATCTCTTGTAGATTCTTAGGCCCCATGTACACGGGACACTTCTGAACAATGGACTGCTGGAAAACGTAGGTAAAAAAAGTCTGTTTAGCCGCATTTGCATAACGCATTTATGCGCGTTTGCGTTTAGAAGCGTTTTTTAAAGATAAGCACAGGAGAACCTCCCAAATGCCCAGAATGCACTGAAAAGTGGTAAATTATTAAGTATTTCAGACTGTTTCAGAGAAATACACAGAGTAAAGCAGACACAGCAGTATGTGTTTACATTAGCTAGGTGTGAGTTGCTCATTAACATTTCTTTTGTTTCCAAGGGTGGGACAGGTGTCTGGTGGAGTGAGTCATTAGACGACCTGGCAGGGGGTCTTCATGAGGAATTTGAGGTTAAATAGTCATTAATATATCTTTTGTTTCCAAGGGTGGGAGAGGTCTGAGGTGTGAATTGCTCATTACAATGTGTGACAAGCTTGGTAGGAACATCCTGTTTGCAGTGTTTTGTCCATCTGAGCACCTTGAAAATGCTTTGCATGCATTTTTCATGATGAAAAAAGGCTCTGGACAGCATCGGACACAGCATCTAATTGGACACAGCTGATCACATGATCAAGCCGACATCTTCGGCTCTTTCCATGGATCGTTGATCCGCTGTGTCCGAGGAACACTGTGCAAAGCCGATCGCCGTGCTGCACGCTCCGGGAGCCGCGCATGTGCGGTGAGAATGGGAGGACGTCCTATGACGTCCTCCCAGAACGAGAGAACCGCCTTGAGTCCGTCATTGGACTATATGGCGGGCGGGAGGCGGTTAAAGTGGCAACCAATACTCCTATTAGGATCTGTGTACAACATTTTCAAACTGGAGCTGAATGGTACTTTAAAAGATTCAGAAAAACTTGCTGAAAGAGCTGCAGATGCTTTGTAAAACCTTGCTGTTCGCACTGATCCTATACAAGCTGTAGCCCCTGTGAAACAGGCCTAAGAAGTTTTTCTTTCAAGAAATCGTGTACATTTTGCAAAGTTAAACTGTTACTTTATCATTTGCACAGAGATTTGTATTGTCTCTAGGTTTCAGGTTCATTACTGATAGTTTACATTATCTCATTTTTATAATACTGTTTCCAAAGTCCCCTGACCTTATAAAGGGGGAAGATAACAAAAAAAGTCATATGGGTCATAACACAGGCTCATGAAGGAGTGATTTGTACTTTACGCAAAAAGATAAAAAGCCATGGACATATCAGACACCCACAAACACTGTTCATAATTCTCACGTTATTGGTCAATAAACAATGAGTAATCACACCATGAAATTGGTTTCCCTGGGAAATGATGTGTAAAGCAGACACATTATTTACTAAAAGCTGTAGATTGCTGCAATTATAGATTTTTCTACTGTGAGCACATTGACCTATAGCTTGAAATTCCATTTTGTATTTAACAGTATATTAATAACTAACTCAAAGAAGTCTCTATGGACAGAGAAGGAAAACAACAGTAACCATGTAAACAATACCAAAAACATATACATAAACTGAAATATGCACATTTCGGATTTAAAAAAAATCTATTCCAATGACAGCTGATGAAAAAAATGAATACAAAAATATTCCCAATTTCAATAGTATACTGTAGCATTTAAACTTTGCAACAAACCAGGAAGAGATGCTTCTGAAATCTTAAAATGTGTGGACAATTACATCTACCCAGAGTTAACACAGATGACTTTGTCTTGTTAAATAGTCCAATAACATCTGAAGAAATTTCAGGAACTATCCCGAGTAGCTCTTCTACTCTTATTATAGGAATTTTCTGACTACTCTGCTCCCTCACTTGCTTTCCTTCTATAAATCTTTCCTAAAAAGGTGCAATTCCTCATACTTAATTCCTTTATTTTTTTAAATCTTCTGTATCCCTAAACCTTGGAAAAACCCCACTCTAGCCTCCAATTACAGACCAATAGCACTTCTTCACTCAGATTACAGAATATTTACATAATATTTCATGTATTAACCAGCAGGTTGTTCAAATGTCTCCCTAGGCTAATTACTAAGGATCAAGTGGGCTTTATATAATCTTACCAAGCTGAAAACAATACTAGGAGAACAATAGTCCTCATTGATCTTAACAAAATACTGATAACGTTGTGTTGCTCCTAAGGAAGCCCACACATGAATCTGTTATTGTTTTGTTCATACAGTGGGTTGAACCAAAAAAAAAAAAACAATGACCCAAATTTCCCACCCACACATTTGATGTAGAAGAGGTAATCCATCCACTGAGCTATTGTATTCCAACAATGGGGAGACTTCCCTGCCACCAGAATGCACTGATAAGTGCTGCCAATAATAGCCTGTGGCACTGATCGAGGGGGAAGACCCAAGACCGGATGTACAGAAGTGAATCAGTAGATTGACTTCTGTACAACCACAGTGTCCATACATGGATCAAAATTTGACCGATACCTGCTGAACTGGCCAAATTTCAATCTATGTACAACAGGCTTGAGTCTGGACACTCAAAAACCATTTGGCGGACTTAGCTAGCCTTATAGGATGGCAATCCCTTGAAAGTACAGACTGCAAAGCCCTCTACTAGAAGCAATGCAAGCTCTATATTTTCAACTCACGGTTCAAGTTAAATTTCCTCTAGTGTCTAGAACACACACACTGTCCCTATACGGAAAAATAGCCAGTATCTCAATGACTGTCAACCATTATTGACTATATATAATATTTAAAAAGAGAACTCAGTATGTTCATATGGAGATATAAATTACATAGAATACTGTAAAACAGTTCTTCAGGTCCCGTTTTTAGTAAAGCACTGAGAAAACGACTCATAGCGCAACAACATATCTTTACACCAGTTAAAAACAAAGATTACCAGCCTGCAATAGATCTCTACACCACTGTAATACCTCCCATTTCAGAATCCAGTGCATGCAGAGCCCTCCCACAAGTATACCTATAGCAGCGTTTTTCTACCAGGGTGCCTTGAAGTTCCTTCAGGGGTGATTTTGCAAAATGCCTAAAAATTGCCCCAAAATTGTATACAGGCCAGCAGGTGGATCAAGCCTGCCTTTTAGTTACACAAAGCCACAGGTTTTCATTGTGCGCCACTACAACCCTCTAGCTGACAGCCTCCTAACAACCAATGATGCCATCAGTTGATATGGAGGATGTTGTTCGCCTACATGGCATCCTTGTTTGACCCTACTCTGCCCCTATCAGTAATGGGGTCACATTAGCTGAGTGATAGGGAGAAACTGAGGGAGAGGAGAAACATTGCTATACTATTCAGTATCCCTGTGCAAAAGTGTATTTGCTGTAGAAGAATAAATCCCCTCTATCTTTGGGTGTTCTACATGTGTGGGTGTTTCTGCATTAAGTAAAACTATTAACTGTCTCCCGCTCACCATATAAGGAAATGACAGGCGCAAGGTGGTTCTCTCGTTCTGGGAGGATGTCATATGACGTCCTCCCACTGCACGTGCGTGCCCCTGGGACCCAGTGGATCACCGATCAACGGAAAGAGACAAAGACGTTGGCTCTGTCATGGGATCAGCTGTGTCCAATTACAGCTGATCGCATGTAAATAAGGAAATGACAGTTATCAGCATTTCTCTTCTCACGAGCTGGAGAGGAGAGCTGGTAATCGGCATTCCTCAGAGGGGACATCTACACTGCTCATCAGGGCACTGATGATCAGTGTAGCCCCAGCAGTGCCACCTGTCAGTGCCCATCAATGCCAACTGCCTGTGCCCATATCAGTGCCACATCAATGCCACATATCGGTGCCTACCAGTGCACATCAATGCCACATATCAGTGCCCATCTGAGCTGCCTTTCAGTGCCACCTATCGGTGCCAGTCAGTGCCACCTATCAAAGCCAGTCAGTGCCACCTATCAGTGCTGCCAGTCAGTGCCGCCTATCAGTGCCAGTCAGTGCCACCTAACAGTGCCACCTAACAGTGCCAGTCAGAACCGCCTATCAGTGCCATATATGAGTGCTGCCTTTTAGTGCCCATCAGTGATGCCCGCCAATGCCCATCAGTGCCACCTACGAGTGCCTCATCAGTGCAGCCTATCAGTGCCCATCACTGCAGCGTCATTACGAACATCAGTGAAGGAGAAAAATCACTTATTTACAAAATTTTATAACAGAAACTAAGAAAAAGCGGGTTTTTATTTTCAAAATTTTCGGTTGTTTTTGGTTTGTTTAGCACAAAATAAAAAACCCAGATGTGATTAAATACCACCAAAAGAAAGCTCTATCTGTCTCAAAAAAAAAAAAATAAAAATGTCATATTAGTACAGTGTTGCATGACCGCGCAATTGTCATTTAAAGTGCAACAGTGCTGAAAGCTGAAAATTGGCCTGGGCAGGAAGGGGGTATAAGTGCCCCCTGTAGGCAAGTGGTTAAAATAGATTTTTACATTTTAGAATGAGGTGCCTTGAGACTGTCCAGAATTTTAAAGGGAGCCTTAGAATTTATTATAATTTTAAAGGGTGCCTTGACTGAAAAAAGGTTGAGAAACACTGCGTTATAGTATGCTCTTGTGAACAAGGACGATGCAACAGATGAAATTCTGTGTGGTCTGCTACAAACCCAATTTACTCTTTATTAACACATTTTGGTAACTTAACCTAATAAAATCTTTCAGAGTGGGGACACATTTACTGAGACTGTTAACCAACAGGTGTTGATCCTATTCTCATCATAATGGTAGTAGCAGGAGAAACAGGTCCTTACTAGGATTAAAAAGCTATTATATACAGTATCATTCAGAATCTATATGGTGCTACATACTCCATACAGAACAACAAAAATCTTTGTGCAGTGCATTCATATTTCCTGTTACTAGCATGATTTAAAAAAAATACAACTAAAGTAATACATTTATTCATAGATGATTGCACACAAAGTATATCTGCGACCAGAAATAACAAATTTTATTTGGCAGCTCCAAGTTCTGCATCTCATATTTTTCCAGTGACTCTGGACCTCAGGAAAGCAGGGTACTCTAATTAGGAAACAACTTCCAAGGTTGCTGGTGCTGACTCTTCCATTTCCACCTTCCCTGTCTCTCTACTAATTTGATAATTTGATATTAGTTATTGGGCAATAGCAACGCAAGGAATATGGGTTAGAGCCAGCAATCACGGAAGCTGCCTACGGTTTCCTAATCAGGTCACCCTGTTTCTCTAGGACCTGCAAGGAACCAGAAATCATATACAGTCATGTGCAGGTCCACTTATGTTATGTCTAAAAACAAGATTTTGGTCACAGAGGCACATTAAGTATTTTTTTTTTTTGCCTCAATAAAAGCACATAGATACTGTATGTAAATGAGTCATTCTATCCATATCTGTGGTTGAACATCCCAATTGGTGGTAGTTCTGTGCTTAGTAAAAAGAAAAAAACCTTTACTTGTTGTCATGCAATGATAACCATGCATGAGGATGATGACATTTTAACTAGGACTTCCAACTCAATGTACACAAGATTCAAGTGTACTCCAAAAATAATCCATACATATCTATATCTATATTTTCATTTCAAACTTTCTTACTATTTTTTTCTGTCTCCTTGTAACATTCTCTGTGAGCTCCACAATCTCTGTTTTTCCCTCACACACCATTTGTTTGGAAAATGTCCATAGTCCCTTCTCCATCTCAGGAGAATACAAGAGGGTAGGGTGACTATGTACCTACTTACAGTGGGACCATGGAGAAGTACCCACTAATAGGAAGTCGAATCACAGCAGCAAAAAAGTGTCCGACAGCAGCCTACAGTGTCTGCTTCTCCCTAACATTCACAACCATTTGACTCCCTCTCCAGGTGTGGACTGTCATTGTACCATTGTTGGTTGCTTGGACCACCCACACCCTAATAACCAATCGCATGCTTGTCCCAGCATTCACAGGAGGATGGCACTTCCCCAGTCTACACTTTCTACAGCCACACTTCCGGGCTCTTTCAGGCTCCCAGCCTGCTCTAAGTGTGTGTGGAAAGGATGGACCCTGTTGGAGACTCTGAAGGGGACCCTCATGTAATGTGATGGGGATTCTTATGTAAGAATGTGCACTCTCATGTAAGGTGGATGGATGGACTCTAATTTAAGGAAGCTCTGATGGGGACCATGATGTAAGGGGAGGCCTAGATCTTTGATGGGATCAAGGTTTCTTTGTTTTACTAAAATTATTTCTTTGTTTTGAATCATATCCTGCTGATTACAAAATAGCTCCAAGTAAAACTCTTTATTATTCATTTATAAAACCAATTTTCTTTCGGCACGCAAATATAAAAATTTATGATGCGGCTCTTGAACAGCAAAGTTTAGAGACCCACAATTTATAATATTAAAAATATACCTAGTGCAAACAATTTAACTCTCCACATAGGAAGGCTGGCAAGGACTCAACAACTGCACATCTGCAGCTTGCCCAAGCCTTGGCTACACTAGTTCTATATGTGAGATGGCATAGCTGAGATTTGATGAGAAGGATTCCAGCAGTGCAGTGTTAGAATTTTTTTTTAAACATTTAAAGAACAACCTTATATTTTGTGATTTTTCTGCTTCTCCAGATTATCTCCACTTCACAAAATTGTAGACAAGTTTCTATGTAATAAGATGATTTCAAGTTCTAATTGAATGACAAAGTTTTTGTTTTACTGTCAGAAAAACAAAGTTGACAAAGCTGATTTATCAGATTTCAAACACACTTGGTATGTAAAATATAAGCACTTAAAAGGGCACAGCGCAGTCAGAGGTTTTCTTCTCTACATGTAATTAGAGGAGGGCATCTAATGCATTCAGCACAAATATTCTTGGTGCCAAGTTTCAGTACAGATTTGTTTGTTGCATTTTATTATCCAAACACTTTTTTATACCAACTTGAGTATCATCATGATAATTTTCATTGTAATCATGTTAGGTTTAATGTAAGCTATACTTTTGCTACAAAACACAAAGCTATGGGGCTAGGAAACTAAATGTTTAAAGTAGTAAATATACCTCCACATTCTTTAGGTTAACACATTAAGAGCAAAATATAAACATTCTCCATTAAACTATTTGATAAAACTCTTGGTTTAAAATGTTCAATGCTGCTGGCTGCTACTATTAGTGCTGCTTTCCTGAACTTCTGGTCTTTACAGGAAAACGTTAAGGGTGGGCAGTGTTTTTCTCCAGTGAGTCCATTACCTTAGGGGAGAGGAGGAGGAGGGAAGAGCAAGGGAGTGCCTTGCTGTCCTAGTTCTAGTGATGCACACACTATTGGCAGTCACAACTCTAGTCCCTGCATACAAAGGTGGCTCCATAAGTTGTTGATCATAATTATGGCACCAGCTTAAATGAGAACACAGACAAGGATCAAAAGATACATCAGCCGCTGAAAGTGCTTCAAAAAACGGAGGGTTTATTATTATTAACAAATGAAACTATAAGGATAGAGGTTTGATTTAGGAGCGAGGCTGATCTGTATCTGGCCTGTGCCAGGTCAGTGATCAAAGGCGGTCTACAATGATATCAGCTTGAACTATCCTTCAGGGTCTAAAGAAAAAGATTAAAAAATAAATAAAACGCATACATTGATTCCTGCATATCTTTACAAATAGTTAATAGTTTTCATGTTAGCAGTTAATACAACAATTTTCATGTTAGCAGTCCCATAAAAGTTAAGTGTGCCTTTAACGTAAGTACCACTCTCTCCTATTGCTTGTGAGAGTTAGAGGCCTTGCCTCTATTAGCGTTTAGGAAACTAAAGGTAGAAATGACACAGGATTTGTGTTACGTTTTAATGTGAAGTTCCAAACTATTGTTTCTGAGAGGAGAAAATTGTGTTTTAAGTGTTTGTAAAGGCTCAAGGTTTTTTAACTTCATGCATTCTATGCATCAAAGTAAAAAACCTTCTGTGTGCAGCAGCCCCCCCCCAGCCCTCCTTATCACTTACCTAAGCACCATCTCGATCCAGCAATTGTCTCTTGGGACTCTCTCTCTTCACTGGAGACAGCAGTGGGAGATATTGGCTCCCGCTACTGTCAATCATAGCCAGTGAGCCAATGAGGAAAGAGCAGTGGATGGGGCCAAGCTGCATCTGTGTTTGAATGGACACACAGAGCAGCGGCTTGAGAGCAAGCTTGATCAGGTACCTCATAGCAAGCTACTTGCTTTGGGGTTATTTGGCAGGAGGGAGGGGCCAGGAGCGCAGACGGGGTAGCCAAGAAGAAGAGGACTGGGGCTGCTTTGTGCAAAACCACTGCAAAGAGCAGGTAAGTATAACATGTTTGTTATTTTAAAGAAATAAAAAATCTGCCTTTACAATCACTTTAAGCTCTCTCCAGGTTTTATAATCCCATATCGGGCCTGGAGTTTGAAGGTTCCAAAGTGTCTTCGGTGGGACCAAACCTCCAATCCTGGGTCCAGATTTTGTTGGATGCCTGCAACCTTTGTGAGTACACAGGTGTGCACGGTCATTATAAACCAAGTCTGAGAATAGCTCAGGGCTGCCATGTGCAGACAGAACCCTGTTAGGAGAGCTGTGTGTTCCTGCCGGAGACTCTGCCCCTTGTTGAGGGAGATTATTTGCCCAAGGACTGGGAAAGTCGGGACAGCTATGAGAGTCTGGGAGACTAAGAGAGAATCTGGGAAACTGAAGCAGTGAGTCCAGGTGACTGCAGGGAGTCTGGAAGTCTCTGGAGGAGTGAGCAAGCTCAGGGGGCTGGAGAACCCTATTTAGAGGCCAGGAGTGGGCCCGTAGCGCAAGCTGCTGCAACTGAAGCTGAGTGAGCCTAAAGAGCCAGTGGTCTGAAGAGTCAAGAGATAAGAGCAGTGGAGCTGCGGACAAGAGAATCAGGTGGATCGGTATTTTCAGTGATTGTGTTTTTGCTGAAGCTGGAAAACCACCTGTGTGAGAATCTTTGTTGTAATTTTGCTTTTGTGTAATAAAAGTGAGCTGCCACGCCCTAAAAATGAAGTTTGGATTGACATGTCTCACTAAAAACACCACACCAGAACATCTAACAATCCCCCATATCACACCGTACAGTCAAA